CGAGTCCCTACCCACGCGCACGGTTCAGAGGGGGAAGAAGGAGCAGCAGCATACCATGTCCTTCAAGGTCGGACGACACGACTCGCCGCACTTTGACAGCGGGAGAGATAGTGAGCGTGGTGGAGATACACCGATGAGTGGTGGCGGCGGTGGCGGCGGACGCGGCCGAGACGATCGAAGCGAGGAGGATGACGAACCTGAGCCCGAGGTGGAGGACGACGATATGGCGGCTATGCAGGCGATGCTCGGCTTTGGCGGCTTCGGGTCGACAAAGGGCCAGAAGATTGCGGGAAATAACGTCGGGACTGTGAGGAAGGAGAAGAAGACGGAGTATCGGCAGTATATGAATCGGCAGGGCGGATTCAATCGGCCTCTCAGTCCTGGAAGATGAGCCAACTGCCCGAGAGCGTGTTAGGAATTGGTTAATGGGGGTAATGGTCGTTTCAAGAGGATGGATCGGCTCGATGGAACAGCATGCCAAGCACGACTCCGTCATGATCGGACAGCACTAGGTATGCTTCACGCTTGTATTGATTTTCCCAGATACCTATAGATGATCGAGAACGAAGAAGACATTTACAACAGCAGAGCCCGTGCAGATCTGCTTGCCTCATATCAACTTGCTCCAGCTCAACCTGACGCGGTTGACGCGGGCGCAGGCGGCGTAGACTCCCTCGTCTTTCCCTCCTTGGCCTCGGCCTTGAGCTCGCTATCGAATATGTCAACAGCCAGACTCGCGTCTACAAAGTCCTCGAGCTCCTCCGTCACCGTCTTGAGCTTCTCCTTGACCGCGGTAGCGCCTTCGAACCCGACAATGTGTCTCGCCGGCGGGTTCTCGTGCCCGCCAATGGCCGTCAGGGCGTGCACAGTCTCCAAGACGAGGCGATCGGTGGCGCTGGGTGGCAACTTCGGGTACCGCACCTGGACCTCGTCGGTCTCGTTGAGGTCGGGCACGGCGGTGTCCGGGTTCATGTTGAGGACGTTGCCGAGCATGTCGCGGACGCTGGGCGCCGGATTGACCTCGGCGTCATACCACGGCAGCTGGGGTGCGAAGATGATCTTGTTGGTGAGAGATTGGATCTCCTTGTTGGGCTGCACGATGGTGACTTTGATGTTGAAGGGAGCAATTTCGTAGGCTAGGGAGTCGCAGAAGCCTTCGAGGGCCCAGATGGCCGATGTGTAGATGGGCATCCCCGGTGTGCCGATGTGGCCGCCCGTACTAGAGAGGATGATGATGTGTCCCGTGTGCTGTGAGCGTAGCAATGGTAGGGCGGCCTTGATGAAGTTGACCTGTGAGAAGAAGATTGTCTCAAACTGGTCGCGGACTAGGTTCTGTGTCAGAGGATTCGTGGATAACTCCTCCACGCTCCCCACGACGGCTGTTTAAGGGGCTGTCAGCATTGTATCATTGTCATTCAACAGGGGCTCGTCATTAGATACCTTCAGATTTGCAACAGAGGAGGATGTCGATCCTCCCGAACACCTGAACGGCCTCGGCCACGGCGGCGCCGCACTGGCCCATGACGCGGCCATCGCATCGGATACCACGTATCCTGTCCTTCCACCCTTCGCGGTCCTTACGGTTGCTCTTACACTCATTGATCAACTCTCTGAACTCGGCGCTGCGGCCGTCGTCCTCAATCTCGCTCGGCGGCAGACAGGCGACGACATAGTCTCCGTGGCCCAGGAGCAGTCTGATGAGCCTGATGATGAGCGGCGAGAGGGCTGTCGTCAAGAACCAGGTCCTCGGCGAGTTGTGCGTAGCTGAGGAGGGGGCGCATTAGCCAAGAGATGCGCTGCCAAGGAAAGCCGTGCTTGCTAGTGAAGTGAGGTGAGATACTCACGGAAAGACGCCGCGGGAATGGAATGGGAATGCTTCGCGGCGTCCGCCCCCTTGCGGTCCGCCATGCCCGGCGGCACTTCTGACAAATCCTCGTCCCTTGAGTACGCGAATCAGCACACGAAGACAAACGCGATACTACTACACAATGTACAGAAAGACAAATGAAGAAGCTGCAGGTGTATGTACGTGATGTACGGGATATAAAAAACGGTGGATACGTGGGGGGAGTTTTATGTAGGTCAATCTTGAGAGTGGGAGACCTGCATCAAAGACGAGAAGGGGGAGGGATATTAATACATTATCTTATTAACAGCTTCCCGACGAAGAGGCTGATACGGCGATCTCAATCACAAGGGGGCACGTTCGGGAACGGCTAGACGTGCCATTAAGGTCGCATTCCCTGGGTGTAGTCTGCAGAGGGCGTCGATCGAGGGGAAGGGGGGCGTGGCAATCGTGGTAGTTGATCAGTTTGGTGATGGGGTTGAGAGAAACACGGCACGGCAGTGGCAGTGGATGACAGCCGTTCCAGCCCAATCTCTATCTCACACCCCTGTCGAGGCGAGGGGCATGGGTGAGGGTAGCCTCCGTGACGAGGGAAGGAAAGGCCCCCAAGGCCCCCCAAGCTTACCTTTCCTGGTACCCCCGCCCACCTTGCTCATGAGGTGCAGCTACCACTCACTGTCCACTGATCCAGTGCTTTGTCACTACCTTACCTTACCTTAGGTGCTTAGTACCTAAGGATGGTACCTACCTAGTCGAATGCAGTGGCCGAAGCGAGCAATACATAGAAGCCCAGGCCCCACCACGGGCCACGGGTGACGGGCCAGCAAGATGCAATTCCAGCGGCATCCCCACGCTAGAATCCGGGGAACGACCCCTCCATCCACTCACGTCATTTTTTCGCTGTCGTTGTTTCCGACACCGGTGTCACTTCCGCATTTTGGCGGGGTTACTCGTCTGGAATAGCAACTTTTTTTTTCTGGCACCACCGCAACTCCGTCTTCCGTGACTCATTAGAACAAGTCTCAGCCCTACATAAATCTAATTGATCTACCATTCGATTCTCCGCCAAGAACCCTTCCTGTGTCTGTCATTTGTTCGAATCTCGCCCAAACCCAATTCACCCAATTCCAATTTGAACCCGCCCGAAGAAACCGCTCCGCCCATCATGCCCTCACGCGCCGACATCACCTACTTCGGCGCCGGCCCCGCGCTGCTGCCCACCGACGTCCTCGAGACGGCCTCGCAAGCCCTCCTCGACTTCAACGGCACCGGTCTGGGCATTGCAGAGCACTCTCACCGCAGCGAGATCGCCACCAAGATCATTGAGGAGGCCAAGGCCGACCTGGCCACATACCTCGACATCCCCTCCGACTACGAGGTCCTATTCATGCAGGCCGGTGGTAGCGGCGAGTTCTCCGCCACCGTCTACAACTTTGTCGGCGCCTGGATCGCCCGCCAGCGCGACGCTGTCCTGGCCAACCTCGGTGCCACCGATGAGAATGACGAAAAGGTCGTCGCCGAGCTCCGCAAGGTTGTCGACGAGAAGCTCAAGCTCGACTACCTCGTCACCGGAGGCTGGAGTCAAAAGGCCAGCGCCGAGGCTGCGAGGCTTCTCGGCCCAGAATTCGTCAACGTCGCTGCCGACGCCCGCAAGATCAACGATGGCAAGTTTGGCAAGATCCCCGACGAGAAGGACTGGAAGCTCAGCAAGGACGCCGCCATGGTCTACTACTGCGACAACGAGACGGTCGACGGTGTCGAGTTCAGCGGCTTCCCTAGTGCGCTGGCGCCCAAGGAGAATGGCGAGGGCCCCATTGTCGTGGCGGACATGTCGTCCAATATCCTCTCAAGGCGCATCCCCGTCAAGAACTTCAGTGCCATCTTCTTTGGTGCGCAGAAGAACCTTGGCTCGACTGGTATCACCGTCGTCGTCATCAAGAAGAGCCTTCTTGCCGCACAGCCCTCTCCTGCGCTTATGCGCAAGCTTGGTCTCCCTATCGCCCCCATTGTTCTCTCCTACGAGACCATTGCCAAGAATAACAGCTTGTATAACACATTGAGCATCTTTGAGTAAGTCATTTCTCTATATCTATCCACATTTTCTATCCACTCAACTAATCACCACTCTACAGTGTCTATATCGCCGGCCAGGTCCTCAAGAAGCTTCTCCGCACTTTCCAAAACAAGGTCGACGGCCAGGAGGCCATCGCTGATGAGAAGGCCTCTCTCATCTACTCCGCCCTCGAGGCTCACCCCGACATCTACCGCATCGTCCCCGACAAGAGCGTCCGCTCGCGCATGAACATCTGCTTCCGCGTCACCAAGGGCGGTGACACTGACGCCGCGGAGAAGGCCTTCCTCAAGGAGTCTACTGCCCAGGGTCTCACCGGCCTCAAGGGCCACCGCAGCGTCGGCGGTATTCGTGCCAGCAACTACAACTCTATCCCTCTCGAGGGTGCCCAAAAGCTGGCCAAGTTCATCGAGTCCTTTGCCCAGGCTTAAACTAGGATGATTCAGATGAGGGTCCATTCAACACCGTCAATATAATGATACCATGTAAGAATATACATGAACCAAAAAAAGGGAGGGAACGGAATTGGGAAATGAAAATAGAGCATATTGGGAATATTTAGGGAGCCATGATTTAATTCAACATTTATGCCAGGGTATTATGGCTTCACGTTGCACACAGTTCTGCCTTGGTGAGTTGATTGTGAGAGGAGAGAAGGTAAGCGTTACCTTGATGGGTAGGTGTGCGGATGGATGACTGAGTTCCACTTTCGCAATTAGGTAGATTGATGGCACATTCAACAACATCTTCCCAAAATGGTAGGTGGTAGTGTCACCGCATGGAAACGCCTTACAAACAGCATCGGGGTTACCTAATTGAAGCTATCACGGGTATACCGGCTTTCACATGAGCCGAGTAACCTCAGAGAGCTTTAAGGTCAGGCAGCTACATCGGAATTTGAAACTACATGATTCAATACGATTTCATTCCAAATTCTCAGCAAGATAAATTGCTCACTTTCTCCCAAGTAAAACCTCCAAAGTGACTCTTGCAAGTAAGGTAAGGTAGGTAGTTGAGAGAGAGGAATAACTATCGTACATCGGCCCGGCGCCCATGTAATGGCCCGTGCGCACCGTCGGCAATATGTCCATCTTGCGGCTCCTTGCCAACTCTTCACCCACACACCCTTATCTTGTGGCTTCAAACAAGAACTGGGTACGGTCACCGGGATGACTCCGGTCCCTTCATCCCGCAGGAGCCGTCGCCGTAGAATCGCAGACGAGGATCGAAAGCGGGCACCTCGGGCCTGTACCCGTTGCAAGGCCCGTAAAAGCAAATGCATTGAGACGACGTCGGGTATATGCCAACGATGTCTTCAGGGGTCACACACTTGCAGCTTCATCACGCAGCGGTTGAGCATATCCCCAGGAGTACTACAGTCGCCTATAAGAGACTACGACGAATCATTGCCAGAGCTGGGTCCCAGCCCGAGCCCCGGTCCCCTTGCTGATGTCCCGGACACCACACAGTCATCACGTCGGAATCTCTGCTCCGACAGTGACGCTCCCGAGAACTTCATGTGGCCACGATTTCTATCCAGACTTAGAAACGCATTCTATCTCGAGCCAAATTCGTCACCCGCCGAGAGAGAAATTGCTAGACTTGAAGCTCGCTCGTCGCGAGCCACTGCCTCTCACCAGTCTGCGGAAGCAATCCGCTTGCAGGCGGCCACTGAAAGCCTCCCACCCAGATCTGTAGCCATCTTTCTGAGCAAGCTCTGTATTCAACATGGAACCGACTGCTTCTTCTACTTTGATCAACCATCTTTCTTGGCTGAGGTGGAGGAGTTTTACAACGACTTGAGCTCACCTCTTCGTCGGGATCCCAGCTTCCTATGTCTTTTGCTGTCAGTTCTTGCCCTGGGAGCTCACTGGAGTCCGCGAGCCCGACCATCCGCTCTGTCTGGGTCTCTTCAAATTCCTGCGGAAGACCCTGGACAGGTATTTTGCGGTCATGCCCGGATCTTGATGGCAGACACCATGGATAGAGTGAGTATGTACTCTGTCAAAGCGGCGTTCGTCCTTGGGATATACCTTATGCCGTCGAGTGCGGTAGGGGCCTCATACCTGTATATGGGTCTTGCCTTGAGGAAAGCCATCGCTCTTGGACTGCATCATGAATCAGAAGAGCCGGACACCGACAGCCATGAGAGGGAAATGGGACGAAGGTTATGGTGGGCTATATTTTCTCTCGAAAGGTTAGTTGACTTGCCAACACTCAGTTCCATCACGGTGAACCCGGACTGATATCCTCTGCGTAGAACTCTAACAATCAAGCTCAATCGACCGAGATCGATATCTCAGGATGTCATGACAGCTCATCTGCCTCAGCGCCGAGCAACTGATGCCCTGCAAAGCTTCGATAACTTGGATCACCAAGTAGCCAACGCGCAATTTGTCAAAATCATTGACACTCTCATTGAGCCGGCGTGAGTTATCTTTTGATGCATGCTATTGATTTTTCCCACTGACTCGAAATGGTCCAGTACGTGGTCAAGCAATTCTCAACCCCCTCTGCAAGACTTTGAGGTTTCACTAAAAACCTGGAAACGATCTCTGCCTCCCAACTTACGTCTCCCAAACGTGGAACCTCGCTCGCCATACTATCGCGCTGTATTCCACCTATACCTGAACTACTACTTTGCTTGGATTGCGATAGGTAAAACTTCTGTCGTTACAAAGATTCGGAGCCATTTACGGTCAGCTGCATCAGGCTTACCGGAGCCTCGAACGACGGAAGATGATGATATAACGCGGCAATTCAGATCATGTGGCATCGCGGCAAAGAAGATGTTGAACATACTCGAAGACGCTAGTCAATCTGGAAACATGGCCCCAAGATCCTTTACGGACTTTCAGGGTTGCAGTATCGCCACAATCATCGTGATCCTTACCGGCATTCTGGAGCGAGACTCGGCCTACGATGCCCGAGTCGCCTTCGGTCTGCGCTGTCTCAGAAGGATGGCTGACTTGCACATGGCTGGTCGAATGGCAGTACGATTTGTAGAGGCACTCATCTCCATCGCCGAGGAGGCACGGGCCAAGGCCAAGCCGTTCGGTTCGACACAATTCGATGGGGATGTCAACCAAGAGGCTTCTGAGTACCTTCTCTGGACAGACTGGCTGAACAGGAACACAGACACATCTGGAACTGAAAGAAATCGATCCAATGCAACCAGACAACGGTCGCGTGCTTATTCAGAAGCTGCAAAAGCTGCTTCTGGCGCATCGCCAATGTGGGAGGAAGCTGCTGCATTGCTCCAGCTTCGAAACCCATCTACACCCAACCAAGCACTCGTGGTTGAAGATGTTGCACTGCCAACGTCTGCGCCTGAGTTACCAGAAGAGGCACCGTTCGATCTAGGTCTGGATGCTGACTTCCCTCCGGCCACTTTTGCCGAGAATCACATGCAACTGATGGGTCTCACTGGTATGGACATGTTGGATTTTACATTTGACATCTAGATAAGGTACAGCAACAGCTCCAAAAGCAGCCAGAAGAAGATCTAGCCAGAATCTACCGGCCAATCTTACAGATGCCAGAAAAAGCCTGAATCAAGCTTCATTCGAAGGGTACAACACAGTGTCTGCGCCGACAAGGTCCTCCTTCATACTCCTCATGCTGGTAAAGCGCGTCAAAAGATTTACGCTGGTGGCCTTGTCATTGGTACCGCTCGCACGACCACCTCCGAAAGGCTGGTGCCCAACAACGGCACCGCTGCTCTTGCTGTTGACGTAGAAGTTGCCAGCCGCGTGGCGCAGCCCCTTTTCCGCCGCCTCAATGGCGCTCCGGTCGCGGGCAAAGACGGCGCCCGTCAGCCCGTACTGCGTCGTGGAGTCGATCATAGGGAGCATCTCCTCGTACTTCGCGTCCGGGTAGACGTGGACGGCGAGGATGGGGCCGAAGAGCTCGTTCCTCATGAGCTTGTGGTGGGCTTTGTTGGTCTGGAAGATGGTGGGCGAGACGAACCAGCCCTGGCTGTTGTCTGTGTGACCGCCGGCCAGCAACTCGACTGCGGGGTCCTTTTTGGCGTCCTCGATTACTTCGCGGAGTTTTGTCCACGAGCGCTCGTGGATGACGGGTCCGATGAAGTTGTCGACCTGCTCGGGGGAACCGACTTTCAGGTTCTTCGTTTCCCGCAAAAGCATCTCCTTGAACTCTGGCCAGATGGACTCGGCGACGTAGAGACGCGACGTCGCAGAGCACTTTTGCCCCTGATACTCAAAGGCGCCCCGAACAGTATTCACCACCGCGTTCCGCACATCGGCGCTGCCGTGCACCAGGTGGAAGTTCTTGCCGCCCGTCTCGCCGATGATGCGCGGGTAGCTCTCGTACCGTCCCGAGGCGACGCCCTCGCCGATCTTGCCGTACAGCTGGCGGAAGACGTCCGTGGACCCGGTGAAGTGGAGCGCTGCGAACTGGGGGTGGTCGAGGACGGCCGAGGTGATTGCTTCGGGCTCGCCGGGGAGAAACTGGATCACGCCGGCGGGCAGGCCGGCCTCTTCAAAGACCTTTTGGAGGAGGTAGCTCGAGTAGATTGCGTAGTCGGAGGGTTTCCAGAGGACGACGTTGCCCATGATGGCGGGTGCGACGGTCAGGTTGGCGCCGATGGCGGTGAAGTTGAAGGGGCTGATGGCGTAGACGAAGCCCTCTAGCGGTCGGTATTCTGTTCGACTGGTAGATACCGTTAGCTCGTGTATGATGTAACGAACTTTTCTCTCCCCTAGGTCATTTAAACAAGAAGAAGGGGACACTTACTTCATGAAACCGGCATCAGTCAACGCGTGCTGTTGGTCATACAGCTGAGCTGCGTAATGCACATTGAAACTACCGCATTCCATCAATGGTCAGCGAAAGCTTTTCTGGATTGCACGGAGTATCGAATCTGCTTCTCGTAAACGTACCGCAAGAAATCACAACTCTCCGCTGCCGAGTCAATTTCAGCCTGCCAAATATTCTTCCCCTGCCCGAGCATCGTCGCAGCCATAATGTCGTAGCGATACTTTCCCGCAATGAGCTCCGCCGCCCTAAGAAAGACGGCAGCCCTATCCTTGAAAGACGTGTTCTCCCACGCGGGTTTGGCTTCCAACGCCCTGTCAATGGCTATTGACACCTGCTCGGGGCTCGTCTGGGCGTATTCGGCCAACGCGACGGAGTGGTCGCTTGGTAGGTATTGCTTGGCTAGCACTGACTTTGCGTTTGTCTTTGGAAGCGACAGAGTATGTGAGTCCAATAGCCGAAAGGCTGCGAGTTATGGGCGAAGATGCCACTTACGATTTCAGGTGCCAGGGATGGTACTCGCACGGGAAGGTTACTCTTCAGCCGTGAGATCGCATGTTGGAGCTTCTGACGCTCGACTGAGCCCTTGTTATATGGTGGCTTAGGGTCGTTTTGTCAGCTGATGCTTTAACCTATCGTGAGTCATTTTTACTGCAGAATACTTACATTTGGCTCGTTGCGGACTGGAGGTGCCTTGAAAGTGCCAAACCCCCTGGTGCTTCTTTCGAGTGGCCAAGAGTTGACTCCGAAGCGAGAGGATGGCGCTGTGAGCCGGCCTGCCTTTTGAAAAGGGGTCGTGAGACCTCGTACTAAAGAGACAGACATTTTGATGTGCCAGTAGTTTCGGAATTGGTTGTAGGTAAATTCTAACGTTCAAATGAAAGCAATACGAAAATCGACTATGAAGATTACATTTATATGTCTTGGGAGCCGCAATGCAGAGCTCCGGCATCGCGATACCGTTGCCGACACTTGTGGCACATTGCCGTGAGGTCGGCAACTTGACCAAGCGATAGTGTCGGTAGCCGATCCGTTGACCGGAATGGCCCCCACCGCTTCTTCTTATCCTAATGCATGTCACCAGCGGGGGAGTTCCATGTCCAAAAGTCTTTAACTGATATTGATTTACAATTTGCTCGCGCCGTGCGTACCAGTCTTACTTGGCTTGTCAAAGCCACCGAGTTTCTGCTGTCCAGCCCCTTTCGTTAATTCAACAACCGGATCTCCAATCGCTACCATGGGGACTACGGCCTTGGATTCATTCAAGGACATAACCTCGGGAGCTGCAGGAGGTATAGCGCAAGTTCTAATAGGTATGTAACTCGCCGTAATGAGTCTTGCATCTTGTAGGAATGGACTTGGCTTACACTGTCTTGCATAGGCCAACCTTTCGGTAAACCGACCCCTCTGCACTTCTACCCGTCAAAAGCCTCTTGAAACGCCATGAGGCTGTGGGATAAGTTCAATTACTTACCAAAGACTCTCAGATCTCGTAAAAGTGCGCCTTCAAACCCAAGGCGGAGGAGGAAATGCCCTAGGTCTAGTCCGCAGCATCTGGACTAAAGAAGGGCCTTTGGCTTTTTACAAGGTCAGCTTTGACTATTTATAGTCTATGAAATCGGTAGTTGACACTTAAATCCAGGGTACTCTAGCTCCGTTGCTAGGTGTAGGTGCTTGTGTAAGTTGTATAACCGCATTCAGGAAACGTGCTTCAGCCTGACCATATCAAACATTGAATAGGTCAGCATACAATTCGGCGCCTTTCAACTCTTCCGCCGGCGACTCGAAGAGTATCGCGAAATCTACCCAGCCGACGCTAAAACTAACAGCAAATCACTCTCCCTATCTGACTTCTACCTTGTGGGAGGAGCCGCGGGCCTGACCAACAGCATCATATCCGGACCAATCGAACATGTCCGAATCAGGCTCCAGACTCAGCCAAACGGCGCAGCCCGTCTATACTCTGGGCCCTGGGACTGCGTGCGCAAGATCACACAGCACTCCGGTATCAAGGGCCTGTATCGTGGGCAGGTCGTCACTCTTTTCAGAGAGTTCCACGGGTACGGCATCTGGTTTGCCGCGTATGAGGGGTTTCTCAGTATGGCGATGGCGTGGGAAGGCGTCAAGGACAGAAGAGAACTAGCTAGCTGGAAGATTGCCGTCTGTGGAGGTCTTGCGGGCGAGGCGCTGTGGCTGGGGAGTCATCCGCTCGACGTGATCAAGAGTAAGATGCAGAGCGACGGGTTTGGGAGAGGCCAGAAGTACTTGACTATGCGTGACGCTTTCCGCCAGACTTGGACAGAGGGTCGGTTTCGAGGATTATTTCGAGGACTTGTTCCAGCGTTGCTGAGGGCGATGCCTGTGTCTGCTGGGACTTTTGCAACGTAAGTGTTCTTGACCAGTTCATCATTCTGTTACTGCCATTCCTATACACGCTTTGGCATTGGCTAACACACACTTGCAGGGCTGAGCTTGTAAGAGGGGCTCTCAGTTGAAACTCCATGATATAGAGACGATCTATGTGATAGATATACAGTAGATCAAATTCCATAAAACCAGGCCTTAAATAAGTTTCATGTGTTCTTTTTGTTTCATGGCTTGAGAAATTATTCACTGCCTCCAGACTTTTTTATAAGCCCGCTGCCCTTCGAAACGTTGGCTATGTTATCTCCCGCACTATAAATGGACTGTTCAGTCAGGAAATGACCTTAACCGTTGCGTACCAATCCCTCAAACTCAGTTATTCTTCTGATTGTCAATAGAGAGATGTTATCCCACAGCGCGTTACGCTTGCCGAAGGCTGCACTGGGAAGCGATTGGAATATGTCGCATTGCCGGTGGCACAGTGCCCGAAATCGGCTACGGTACACATGTCCGTCCGACGGTATCATGAGGGGTTGCCGCATCTAGATGTAGGATAACGCAGGTATTCAAATAGGCTCGCCCTACAATTTCTATCGCATAGTATCGAGTGAACCAAATTTCGCCGGATGCGACCCCAGTAGCGAACAATGTCTCTGTCGAACCCTCACAGCCAGCGGCTCGCAGCTCTTCTGAGCCGGCGACATCCAGCTGTTCACTATGCCAACAATGCGTCTCTTACAAGTTTCCAGTCGCGATACGCATCCACCACTTCAGGGAACCCAGAAACATTGCCACCACACTCCAAGCTGCCCTTGAAGATTCTCTTGCGGTCCCTGTTGGTGGCGACCATTTCTTCCCACCGGATCTTGCTGGGCCCGTCTCTGGCTATTTTGAAATTCCTAAACGACTCGCACCGAACCTGGGTCTTTGACGTGCAAAGGAATCCTTTATTGCACGCTATACTAAAGAAGACCATGTACAACCACTTCTGCGCCGGCGAGAACCGACACGAGGTGACGTCGACGATTGCGGAGATCAAGCGCATGGGGTTTCGGGGAGCCATCCTCACGTACGCTCGCGAGATTGTGGTCGACAACACGACAGAAGAAGAGAGCGGTCGGGGGTTGAAGGAGATGGATTCCGCTTCAGAAATCGAGTCAGATGCTGGGATCGACGCTTGGCGTGAGGGTGTCTTGGAAACGGCGGATATGCTCAGTGAAGGAGATATCTTGGCTCTCAAGTAGGCGCCCCATCAATATGCATTCTCATGATTTGCTGACTTTCTCCTCAGACTGACTGGTGCCGGTGCCGCCGTTTCAGAGGCGCTCACTTCGAGGAAGCCCCTACCAGCGCAGATGGAGTCAGCTCTCGCAGACGTATGCTCTCGCGCGGTGGAGCGTGGAGCACGCATCTTCATGGACGCCGAACAGATTTCAGTACAGCCCGGAATCGACGCAGTAGCAGTAGACCTCATGCGCCGCTTCAACACGAAAGAAAGAGGCGCCGTCGTCTTCAACACCTACCAAGCCTATCTCAAGAGCACACCGGATACCCTGGCTCAGCACGTGGCGCTAGCTCACAGGGACAACTTTGTCCTCGGTATCAAACTGGTGCGCGGAGCTTATATCAGCTCAGAGCCAAGGCACATGATCAATGATACCAAGCAAGCAACCGACGACTCGTATGACTCTATTGCACGGGAGCTCTTGTCACAAGGTTACAGAGACTATGGCGTGCCGGGCGGGAAGTCATTCCCGGGCATCGAGTTGTTCCTTGCAACGCACAATAAGGACAGCGTCCTAAAGGCCAATGAGCTTCAGCAAACTCGCGCCAAGGAAGGGAAGGCCTTGATCAAGATTCAGTATGGGCAGCTTCTGGGCATGGCCGACGAAGTCAGCTTCAGTCTGCTCCAGCTTGCAGACCAGGGGTCCGATGCAAAGGGATCGGAAAGTGATGCCCCTATAGAGGTCTACAAGTGCTTGAGCTGGGGCTCTCTTGGTGATTGTACGTCGTATCTCTTGCGGCGGGCGGTCGAGAACCGGGATGCGGTATCTCGCACAAAGTCGGAGTTCACTGCGTTGAAGAACGAGTTATGGAGGAGGTTTGCATCTTCCAATTGATCATAGCAGGGAAAATAGAGATATCAAAGTCGCTCCATCGCACTCTTATCATCGTGGGGTTGACTAGGAGAGCCCACCGCTCCCTCAGTGTAAGTGAAAGATTGGTGAAGATGAGAATTAAGGGGGAAGAAAGGCAACATTTGGACTACGTAAATAAAGTAGTGGTCGGTGCTTTGACCAGGGAACCTCACCCCCCGGCTGGAGAGCTCTCATTACCCGTACTTTATCCGAAAGAATGACAGAATGGAACCGAAGCTCCCTCTAAATGAGGGGCTCTCTCCACAGCCTGGAAGAGGTACCTGACCTGCCGCAAAGCCCCACCATCTCAACTCTCAAAGCCAACGCGCAAGCTACAAAACGACATCGTCACATCTCACCCAGCGCCCTCACCTCACTCACCCTCCGACCACCCCACTCCCTTCCGAAAGTCGACACCTAGACGGCATTGCCGACAACCCACCCAACATGGCAGCCAAAGGAGACAAGATTGAAAAGATCATCACGCGGCTCCAGGCCCGCATCGGCGAGGGCCAGTTCTACGAGGCCCAGCAGCAGACCCGCGTCGTCGCCGCCCGCTACATCAAGGCCGCGAACTGGCCAGCCGCCATCGATATTCTCTACAATGTCGCACAGTCCCTACTGAAAGCCGAACAGGGCGGCAGCGGCGGCGACCTGGCCGTCATGCTCGTCGACGTCTTCAAGCAGGCCGAGCTCAAGCCCGACGCCGCCAACAAGGGCAAGCTGCTCACCCTCCTGCGCCTGTTTGCCGCCCAGGAGCCCACGAGGAAGAAGTTTATCGGGGAGATTATTGCGTGAGTACCATGGATCTATTCTTCATGGGGCAGTACATCGGAGGGGTAGAAATACGATTAGTTGTTTCTAACTACTAGGGCTATAGATGGTCATCAAAGTTCGGCGAGTACCCTGCCGGCGATACCGAACTCCACCACGTCGCCGGATCCCTCTACGCCGAAGAACACGACGCCTACGAGGCGGAACGACACCTGGTGCTAGGAACAAAGGACTCGGCCGAGGTGCTCGCAAAGATGGAATACGTCTGGTACAAGGAGGACGACTCGCACACGGCGCCACTCTACGCCGCCCGCGCCATCTTCCCCTACCTCCTCGTCGGCAACGTCCGCGCCGCAAACACCTGCTACCGCCTCTTCGCCTCCTCCCTCAGCGATGACAACAAGGGCCTCGGCGTCCAGGACGTCAGCAGCAATAGCGCCGACTTGCGCATCTTCCCCGGCTTGCCCCTCCTCAACTTCCTCGGCCTGCTCCTGCTGGCGATCCAGCGCGGCGCCCCGGACGCCTACAAGCAGCTCCTGGCAAAGTACTCGTCCAACATTTCCGAGGTCAGCGCGTGGAGCGAGGCGCTCGAGATTATTGCCGAAATGTACTTTGGCATCTCGCGCCCAAGGCAGAGCAATCCGCTCATGGACATGATGGGCAGCCTGTTTGGTGGCGCCGGTGGTGGTGGCGCCCCTCAGCAGAGACGTCCCGCAACAAGACGGGTGGAGGCACCCGCGGCTGAGGGCTTGGATTAGATGAAAAGGGTTTCCGTCGATTCGGCGTAGATGCCCACCGTGCGTAAGAGCGCACTTCGTAATGAACCAGACGTTGAAAACATGTGTCGTCGAGGTAACGACCAGGATATCCAGATGGGAAACGCTGGGCATCGTGTTCAGAAGCCACGGGGCAGCTCCGGCTCGGCCTCGTACATCCAATTGTCGTCGGCGAGAGCCGAGACTTTGGCTCGTAAACTGGCTTTGACGGCTTCGAGGAGCTCTATTTCGTACAGGAGCCGGTTAGGAACCCCTTTTTCCTCCAATGAAGAGTTGGACACAGAAGTATCTCGCAAGGGGGGACTCACCTTCGGGCTGTTCACGGACGGCGGTATGGTTGACTTGATGCTGCTTCACAGCCTCTGCGAGCCGCTGCCGCTCTTCTATAAAAGCATAGTTAGCATTACATATAAAAATCAATACCCCTTTCAAAGAACTAGAAAACAAAGAGAAAATTGAACAAGAACAAGAGCAAGAACCGTGAATAATCAAAACAAAACAAAAAAAAGGGGGGGGAGGGGGGGAAAAGAGGGAAGAAAATAAGTCTCACTCTTGCTCTCCTCCCGATCATCCATCGCAGCAGCCTCATCAGCCTCGTCAAACACCAGCGTCGGCAGATCCCCGAGCTCAATCTCGCCGTGCTCGTCGCGCACCACAATCTCTGCGGGTCCCATTGCGGACGGCGGCCCGCCGTCAGAGAGGACATCGACATCGAGGCGGAGCGTCTCGCCGCCCCCGACATGACCGTTACCGTTGCCGTGAGCAGCAGCAGCAGTTGAAGAGCTCCCACCTGGTCCCACTCCTCCCATCGTCGCAGCAGCAGAAGCAGTGGCAGATACAGATCCCGCGCCGACAGTAGAGGCCATGGGCTGCCCCGTCGTTCCCGTTGTCGTAGTCCCCGTCGCTCGCCTCGTAAGTCCCTGGAACAAATTCCGTCGGACCGCTCGTCGCGGGGCGCCGGGCGGTGGTGGTGGTACGGCTCTCGAAGTCCTGTCTGCCATCTTTCTCCCTCGCCTGCTTTTCCGTCTCTTGTTGGAATAGTATGCTGTAATGGCGACAAAGAGTCGCTGATCTCCGATCCTCCTTCCTTGTTTTTTCCTGATACTTCCTCTCAGTTATAAAACGTGTAGTTAGGAAGCGTCTTCCTGCTGTTACAACTCAAGGATCTCAATTCGTAAAATAAGACAAGGATGTTGGATGTTGAATCTTCTCAAAAAGGGGGATTGAATATTGAGTCGGTAGGTATGGGGCTCGTAATGTGTAAGCGCAGGTCACCCCTCTGTTTACATTTGGAGGGTGAGGTCGTCCAGGCACCGCAATGCAGTGAGGTTGTTATCGATAAGGGGCAGTGCGGAGTACCAAGAATACAGGCAAACACAGTGCCTCATGTAGCACCTACCTCATCACCTCACCGTGCTCACTTCGCACCTCACTTACACGGTCAAAACATCACGACCTGGAACAACCAAATTGAACATCATTTACTTCATTGACTGCATTTTCGCGTAAGCTTTTTATGTTACAGAACCATCCTAGCCTGGACATGCATGATTCCCATTATGTATCGTACATTAGAAAAACTCCCACAGCCGTGACGAAGACCTCCAACCGATCGATACCCAGTTCCCAAATACACACAAAAAGAAGAAGATAAGAAAAAACCGGTAGAAAAGAAAACGCCGAGATATGCATACCCCGAGCCCACCCAGTCATAACCGCTCAAGTCCCTTTTTTTCGACATTGCCTTCGCGCATTTCAAATCAAACAAAAGACAAACGACGCAGTAAATCGCGGCATGATCATCCCACACATACCCACTCGGCAAAGACGCACCAGCGGGCGGTGCGGTCTGCCAATACCAGCCCCCTCCACACTCCCTTCTCAGAACACTTGATGATGGTCTCCCACGTCCCACCATCACTGAGATCCTCTTCAGCCCCTCTACTGCCGACACTGACTCCTCTGCGCTCCTCTTTCCTCATAAGACGGAGAATTTTGCCGCCAGGAGTCTGAATCGCCAACTTAGCCGGCTTCTTCCCACCGGCAGCTGCTGAACTGAGGTTCGAGCCGCTGGCGCTGGAGGCGGTCATACTCATGGCGGAGCTCGGTCTTATAAAGGGGATTGGGCTTGCGCCTCCAGGATTGGATGACGGTGTCATCACCGAGCCGACCGCGCCCGCAGAGCTGGGATGCTGCCGAATTGCGAAAACAAAAGTGTTGTTCAAAGCCAGACGTTGACATTGAGGCTGAACAACGTAGATATCGTGACGCTGTGCATGAGGCGTCGGGTGCCGCGTCACAAACTCGTACGGAGGGTTCTCGCCCGTATGAATGATGGGCAGCGCGAATGCCACTGGATGAGGAATGTCTTTGATGCTATGCATCAGACCACGCTTGCCGGCATAAATCTTCAAGACTCCCTGGCCCTCATCACCAGGCAGCAAAGCCTTGACGGTGTATCGTTTGGTGCCGTTGAACCACTCCGCTTGAGCCAGCGCTCTCTTTTTCACAACTTCGCCGCTCTCGAATACGTCACCATCGACATCTCTGGTGTAGCCGCGGACTTCGACTTCAGCAGCAATCTCGACGTCAGGTGGAGCGTTGAACTTGACATGTACCATCTCCAGATCCTCGATGCGAGTTGCTGCTGTATTGTAATCGACCATCTCGAGCGTGTTCTTGAAGAAGGGAGGGCAGGCGCAAGGCAAGTTGAGGAGAACTTCATGAGCCTGTGGCGGGCACATGTGTTGTTGAGTGTGGTGTTCAGGGATATGTGTCCAGCAGAGCTCTGTCGGCCGCGTGAGGAACCACCAAAAGTCCGCGGCGCTGTTGCTAGCACTCGAGTAGAGATGCCGCCTGGGATATGAAGGGCTGGCCATGCAGCAGTCAATCATTCGCCAGTCGTTGTCGACCAGAACCGCATTCCACCAGTGATTCGCCCGAGGCATGATATTGTGCTCTGGAATCTCGCCGGGCGTCTTGAGGTACCCGCGGATGACCTCGCACTGGATACCAACGGCGGAGCACATTTCGTACACAATGACCGCATACTCTTCGGCACTCGCTCGCTTTGACTGCAGTACCCTCCGAGTGTCTACTTCGCCTTCAAAGTCCTCTTCCCAGACAAGCTTCTCGGATACCCAAGTAAAAATTGCCCGCAGTCTCTGGACGTCGCTGCGGTATGGTCGACATACATAGGTTGTTGCCAAGCTCTGTGCTGTCGTCGTTGGTGGAAAGCTAGCCACAAACCTCGAGTTCTTGTCCACCTGGGTGAGATTTATTGATTGGTAGTCGATGGGGTCCTCCACAGGCTGACCGTCGGCGCCCTCGTCACCCTCCATGCCTTCGTACAACTCATCGACTGGGTTCAACGCAGGGTAGTCGAGCATTTGGCAGCGATCTTTCCGCTCGTTCCTCTCGTTCTTACTCAGAGAGTTGGATCGATTGACGTCTCTGCGGACCTGAACCCAGTCCACTCCGCTTGCAAGCCCCATTTCCCTGGCTGCTTCCCTACCGAAGCCAGTGCTACCCAAGTTGGTCAAGTTGGATACGCTAGCACCAGCTTGAGCGGCAACATTGGGCATGGAGCGAGCAAAAGGCGACGATCTGGGCGAGTCGGCACCCATGGCAATACTACTGCGCCCGGATGCCACCCCGGTCTTGGCTGTGTCGAGGAGCTTCTTGAAGATGTTCCTCTTTGGGGGTTTTGGGGTGACGAGGCCTCCAAGGCCAGCATCTTCATGAAAGCCAGCTTGCGACTTTGGCCGAGATGCTTCTGAGGCGTGACTGCTGTGATACGTAACCCCGGTGAATGGCGTTTCTGGGCGCTCGATATCAGCATCACGCATGCCCAGGGCACTCTGGGCCCGCTTCTGGGTTTTGCGAGCGAAGCTGCCAGCGCTCGTTGCGCTAATAGCGCCGGCTGACGACCCACTCATCAAACTCCTGTCGCTGCTTTGCGTCGTCGAACTCTGATTGCCTGAGGAGGCGCTGGTAGAGTTGGTCTTCGTCGTAAACGTCCTGTTCAGGACGTTGCGGCCAATGTCGTAAGCCGACTTGCGCCCGCGAAGCTTCCTCTCCTCCGGTCCACCCATCGAAGACTTGGGTCTCTCGTATAACTGGCCTTTGGGGGGTGGCTTCGGTGCCTCATCCTCAAGGTCAGCCATACTTGCGCTATGTTGATGCATTTTTTTGAGACGACTTTCCATACGTTCGACGTAGTTACTCAGTTGAGGTAGCTGCTCTTTATCCTCCCGATGTCCGTTATGATAGGATTGGTCTCGTGACGATCCGCCGCTCCAGGTTTCGTACCCTTCGTCCTGTTGTGCTATGCCCATGGATGTCTGTGGTCTTTGGTAAGTGTTCTTTCTCCTAGCGCGGTCATTCACCATATCAAACGACTCGGGCGACCACGGATCCAGTGGCGGCTCTGGTGTCGGATCTCGAGGCATTCCCAGTGCGTCCAGCTGCTCGATCACGCCATCCATTGCCTCTCGCAAAGGCGAGGGAGTCATATGGCTTGCTGATGGCGAAGGTGGAGCTGGGGAGTGATGCCGCTGAGTCTGTATCGGCGATGGCCGATGAGCTTGGTATGAAAGATGAGAGCCGTGCCTGTCCAGAGGAGGATGGCGGTTATCATATGAGGCGCTCGAGTCCTGTCGCACGACATCGAATCGCTTGTCAAAGGAGTTACCCGACCCATGTCGACTGGAAGTAAAGCGGTTGTCGAATGAGCCGTGCGAGTCCTGACGAGAGCTATCGTGCCTGCTGTCGTAGGATATGCTTTGCTTGTGCCGTGAAGCCGCTACATGTCGGTGCGGAGGTGGGGCCGGGGGTGGAGGAGAATCCACCTTTTCTCGTGTGGGAGGACGGTAAGGCTTATAGCTGACTGAGGGAGCCGGTGACGGGCCTCTTGAGTGGAAGTTGTGGGATGGCGGTATGGGAGACGGGCCCCTTTCCGTGTTGTAAGAGTTCTGTCTTGA